TAGAAGAAAAGGATTTATCAGACCTTATAGATAACCATAGTGCTCAGAGGAAAATATGTAACATTAATTAAATTTTTATGTTCATTTATGTTATTCACATAGGAATACAAGTTTAAGTTTCCAATTCAAGAAATTAGCATCAAGAAACCATTTCGCTAATAAGTAGTCTAAACAAGAAAAAATAAACATAAATTTTAACAATTAGAATGTGGAAAGAACAGATTCAGAGAAAATATAAAACAAATTGTAACAGATTGCTTTTCTCAACACTATTTCTTTATTTCTTTATCTGTTTATTTATTTTGAGACAGAGTCTCTCTCAGTCATGTAGACTGGGGTGCAGTGGCACAATAATAGCTCATTGCAGCCTCGAATTCCTGGGCTCAAGTGATCCTCTTACCTCAGCCTCCCAAGTAGTTGAGAATACAGGTATGAAACATCACGCCCAGCTAGTTTTTTAATTTTTTTGTAGAGACACAGTATTGCTATGTTGCCCAGGTTGGTCTTAGCTCTTGGCCTCAAGAAATTATCCCATCTTGGCCTTTCACTGAGATTTCAGTAATAAGCCATAGCTCCTGGCCTCTGAAAACATTATTAAAATAGATGTATTTTTAGGAAAATACAAATAATAAAAATCTACCTCCAGAGGAGAGAGCAAATCTAAATGGGCAAATTATGACAGACAAAAAATTTTGATTGTCAGAAAGCTACACATCAAAATGCACCAGGCCAAGAAATTTTCAGTAGTTCACTTTCACTACTATTGTTTAGCACTGTCATAGAAGGAATAGCAAATGCGATTAGGGAAGAGAAAGAAAAATGGGGTCTTAAATTGGAAAGGAAGAGGCAATACTTTCATTATTTGTAGGAGATACATTCCTATTAAGCCTCTTTAGGTTCCGGAGGCCACACATTCCACAACTAGGTATACTGATCTCGCCTACATATCAGGCAATGTTAAGAGGCATTATATGACTTTTAAAAAACAGCTTCTGGGCCAGGTGAGGTGGCTTACGCTTGTAATCCTAGCACTTTGGGAGGTTGATATGAGTGGATCACCTGAGGTCAGGAGTTCGAGACCAGCATGGTCAACATGGTAAAACCTCGTCTCTACTAAAAATACAAAATTAGCGGGCATGATTGTGTATGCCTGTAATCCCAGCTACTTGGAAGGCTGAGGCAGGAGAATCGCTTGAACCCTGGGGTGGAGGTTGCAGTGAGCCAAGACTGTGCCACTGTATTCCAGCTTGGGCAACAAGAGTGAAACTCCGTCTCAAAAACAAAACAAACAGAACAAAACAAAAACAGCTTCTGATATGGTACTGGAACCTGACAAAGATGGAATATTTGACTATGTGACACTTAGTGACCATATGTCCAGAACTGCTGAACTCAGTAAGTCATAAAGTTAAGATGGTTCACCAATAATCCATTATAAGATAGAAATACTATATACAGGATAATCACGAGCAGGACCACAGGGCACATGTAAGCTGCATGAGTGGATACCCCATTATCCACCACAGTTCACCCAGAATTCTTCCCTAAGTCATAACTATGGCCTATGCACCATAACCTATGTACACACACTGATATCCAATAAACATATGTACAGCCATGTGAAGGAGGCAGAGAAAACCTGGGTTTTGAGGTAATTAATAGGTTAGACTCAATCCAAAAATGAATGGCAGCTGCACACAACTTCATTGATGGGTGGCCTTGAAAGACAGTGGAGAGGGAAATTCTTTCTGATGGTCCAAGTTCAGGCAATGGTCATCCACTTTGTGTGAAAGGAGGAGTGGGCTTGTAATGAGAATGTGTATTGGTCAGAAACATGGAAGAGTGAAAGACACAGAGACAAGGAGTTCTGGGGTGGAGGCGTGTAGGTAGCCCTATGAGAACGGGCATGAATGAAGCACAAAGATTACTGTATCACCCATTGATGTCCTTAGGAAGGTACAAGGGTCTTGGCATGTTGCCCAGGCTGGTCTTCAACTCCTGGCCTGAACAATTCTCCTACCTTGGCCTCTCAAACCACTGACATTACAGACCTGAGCAACAGCACCTGGCCCCTGAAAACATTATTAAAATGAAATTATTATCATGGAAGGAGTATTAAACAATCAAGTAAACAAAATGACTTGGTGAGTTAATATTAGCTGGTTTTTGTCATGGGCCACCCCAGCACAATGTCGTATAAATGAAGTGACCAGAGAGGTAGAAATGGAGGCTATACACGGTCTTGGCAGCATGGACTCTCACTTGCCAAGGCTGATACAGCTACAGCTATCTCTGAGTGTCCCACCTGCCAGCAACACAGTATCAGTCAATGCTGAGCCTCCAACGTGACAAACAGCCATTAGATGGAAAGTTGATTATGTTGGGCTCCTTTTATCCTTGAAGAGTCTGCAGTGTTTTGTTTTGCTTTTTTCCTCACAGAAATTGGTATCCATTCCAGATGTAGGTTTGCTTTTCCTTTCCTTAGGGCCTCAGCCAGCACCACTAAACTAACCAGGGGCTTAAGGAATACCTGATCCATAGGCATGGAATTTTGGCCTGTTGTGAGCTTCGCTGTTTTTCCTCCTTTCACATCCTCCAGTATTTAACCCAGACCATGGTCAGGTAGTCCTGTGTTTACTTCTACCCACGTCATAATCACCCCAATCCAGAATGAGGTCTGATAATGGCATATTAGGATTCTTGTTCCAGGGTGACAATGGAGATAAACCTGATGCTGTCACAAAGCTCAAAGGCATCCACTTTTGTTCTGATTACAAGGATGTACCTTACTTCAAATGTTCCTTGAAGTTTTCTGAAGGTCACAGCCCAATATAGGGACCAGAAACTTTGTTTTCCCCTACCTTTTTACCTTTTTGCCTCTTTTCATGAGAAGATCCTTTACCCCAGCCCCTGGTTTCATATGGAAATCAGGATTCATGCCCCTTGTTCATATACGATAAGTACTCCTTATCTCACAGCAGCTGAACCCCCAGCAAATTTTGCCCCTCAAAAAAACAAAACAAGAAACCCACAAGACAGAAGCCCATTGACTTCAGCTCCACTCACTGTTTTGCTTTTCTGTTCTATATTTGGTTCACAGAGAGATTTGTTTCTGAGACCTTATCTTCTGGTGTTTTAATATTTCATTGAACATTGCTAAGTACTGGAGTGCTTTATAGCATAAACTTATGATTATAGTGATTGGAAACACCCTAAAGGTGGCATTTAAAATATTAATTGAGAAATGTTTTCAGAGAAGTGTAAAAGCATTTGGAAAAAAATAAAATTGGACCCCTACCTCCTATCTCTTACTAAAACAAATTCTCAATGGATTAAAGATTTAAATTTGAAAAGCCACTGAAATATTACAAAAGACCTTAGGGTAGACAAAAGTTTTAAAATAGGATATACAAGTGCTAAACATACAGGGAAAAACTGATAAGTTTTGGCTATATTAAAATTAAGAACTTATGTTCATCAAAAGACACCATTAAAACAGCACGCCACAGACTGGAAAAAGATATTTGCAAGATATACCCAGTAAAGAACTCATATTCTAGAATATATTTTCTTTTAAACTACTGATCAATATGAGAGACAAAAAAAAAACACAAAAAACAAAAAACAAAAACAACAACAAAAAAAACCGACCAACCCTCAAAAACTTCATTTTAAAAAATAGGCAAGAAATTCAAACAGGCACTTCACAATATATGATCTCTAAGAATCCAATAAACATAAGAAAAGGTGCTACATATTGTTTGTCATCAGAGAAATACAAACTAAAATCACAGTGAGAAACCACCATTCACTCATCTGAATGTTGGTGAGGATGTGGAGACACTAAAACTCTAAAAAATCGCTGATGGGAGCGTCAAATGGTAAAACCACTTAGAAATCTGGCAGTATCTACTGAAGACAACTGTAGGCCTAGCAAACGTTATATAGATTAAGTCACAGGCCCACTTAAATAAAAAGTAAAAGAAATGTCCATCTGATGTCTGAGCCTTTGTTCTTTACTAACCCATGTCCCCTACAAACACACCGATGCCTTAAACGGACTTTATGTCTCTTTCTGGTTCAATGTTATTTATGTTTGTTTAAAACACCTTAACATAGCCCAGCCCTTGGTTGATTGTTGCAGTTTACTGAACCTTAATAGAAATCTGAATTAAAATACCAGATAAGAATTAGAAGTATCACATAAACTATTAGTGGTTATTTTTCTGATTTTAAGTTGAATAAAATCCTTCGCAATATACATCAGAATTATTTTTTAAACTGATTTGCCTTGCTACTGTTTTTCTTGGTTGAAATCCTCAGGGTTCTGAATATCCTCAACTCCTAACTATAGTAAAAATTCAAGGCCATGGCATTGCCTACCATTTATTTTGTTTCTGATGTCATCTGTCTATTACCTTAGAGCTTTGCCTAACCTCATGTTAGTGTCTACTTAACCTATCCATATTTCATTACTTCAGGATCTCATCTGAAGTCCTTTACCTAGAAATCACCACGGGTTTTTCTTCTAGAAAATGCTTTTCACTCCTGTTGCTCATCAGGATCCAGTAAATCTGCATCACGAGACTAAAATTTATAATCTTTGTGGTCAAAACTTTTTAAAGCTTTTCCAAATATTCGTCTTTTGGGCAATGCTAAACTGCTGCTTTCACAGCCAGTCCATGGGTGTCCAATGCTATAGATGCACCAAACTTGGACACCTAAACATTCGTGGAATAAATACTGCCACATTGATCTGCTAAGTTAATAAGTCTTGCTAATATTGTATTGGAGCCTAAAGGTTATGCATTAAACGTTCCATTAAAAGGCAGCAGCTTAGGGTGTAGTGGCACATGCCTATAGACTCAAGCTATTTGGAAGGCTGATGTAGGATTGCTTGAACACAGGAGTTCAAGATCAGCCTGCTGGGCAACACTGTAAGATCTAGCTCAAAAAAAAAAAAAAATTAAAAATAAATAAATAAATAAGCAGTAGCTTAGAAACCATAAAAGTTTAATTTGTATTCAGTTATTTAATAATAGTAATATTCACCCTGGAGGTCTCTCAACTAATTAGAAATCTCTTTTAAAACACTGAAAAATTTTAGACAGTACCTAAAGGACAGAAAGAAGACTCAAATTTCAGTCAAAAGCCTGACTGCTTCAAACAGTTTGCTGAACAAAGTGAAACAAAGAAATCTCCTCAGATGTCAACCTTTCCCCAGAGATCAAGAGGCTTAGGCATGGACAGGAGCAAGGAAGAATATACTTCTGAGCTCTGAATCTGCAGGAGAGCATTTTCTTGATTGATTAAAGCAGCAAAAAAGAATATGAATTAAAGCAATCTGGCCAAATGAGAGAACAGGTTAGTAATGACTTTTTCCTCCTTAAAAAATTTTATGACAATTCTACACATGTGGGAATGTCTAGGCTTCTCCAGCACGATTTTCATTTTAGACTTCGGAACTGTGAAGACTTATTCCATATGAACAATGAAGGCTAAGCATCCTTAAACTAAAGTTAATGTTGAATTCAGATAAGCCATAAATGTATACTATGCATATTATGACACTGCTTTAGATCAGTTTGGTTCATATTGTGCTATTATATATGCCCTATTGTTCATGTTTATTTTAGAAACTGTGACTCAATGTCCTTTGTTCCTCTTCTCATTTAAAAAAAAAACAAACAAAACTGTCCCAAAGCTTAAGTTTCTTATATTTTACTATGTTTCTGAGACTGCTCTGCCTCACTTGAGGGTGCTCCTTTCTGTCTCCAAACCTGGGTGTAAAGGTTCACAATAGTAAGATTCTGGGTCAGGAAGTCAGAATCTGTAGGATGGAACTAGCCAGAAGGTTTGAGTGAAGGCAGTGGATGTCAGGACCTAATGCAGAATGACAATAATCAGGGTACCCCAGAACGCACTTTGCCTCTACCTTTGGCCACTTTGGAGAAGAAACTTACGAGGTAGACCATTACTGGCACTAACCCTACTCAATCTTACCAAATAATAGATGTTAGATGTGTTTTTTTAATCTTAGAAGAGAGAAGGATATTTCTTAGAACGATCACTGTCCTTATGTTGTTCCCATTGTTATCTTAATCCTTGTCAGAATTCATTTTTAGCTCTCACAACAAACTTCAATGTTTTCTAGTAAATTCAGAGTTTTGCAACCATCACCACAATTAATTGAGAACATTGTCATCATTGCCAAAAGAAACTCTGCATCTTTTAATAGTCACCCCCTCCTCCCCCTTATATGTGGATCATGTAATAAGTGGTCTTTCATGACTGGCTTCTTCCACTTACATAATGTTTTCAATGTTCATCCCTGTGGTATTGTGTATCAGTATTTCATTCCTTTTTAGTGCCAAATAATGTTCCATTATAAGGACATACCACATTATATTTAGCTATTCATCAACTGATGAACATTTGGATGGTTTCTGTTTTTTAGCTATTAAGAATAATGTTGCTATGAACTTTTGTGCACAAGTTATGTGTGAATGTATGTTTTCATTCCTCCTGGGTATATACCTATGTTCTCCTCCCCCGCCCTGCCTACTTTTTTTCACCCCTGTGCAATGCACTTACCTTGGAAGACACAGTTTTCACAAGCCACGTAGAAGAGCAAGACATCAGTAAGTAGGTCCTAAAAGGTAGAAAATTATGTTACTCATATCAAAAAACTATTTTTGTTTTAAAACTACATGTATGCCCTTTTTAGCAATGACCCAAATACTTGTTCAGAAATTAGTAATTGAGAAACAGACAGTGAGGGAAGGACTCAGTCTTCAGTATCAACAAAAGTCCCTGCCAAGCTACTAAGGGTCCTTGTTTCAGAGCTTAAAGTCATTTATCTATAAGCAGATGGACTAATACATTGAAGCTAATATAATGGTTGCAAAAGTCTCCTGGGGTCTTTGTTCTCTGACCAAATATTTGCATCCTGTGTCTTGAATAAAAAGTTTTAATTTCTACTTAATAGTTTACCCACTGATGACTTCTTTAATTTGGTCTTTTTCTTTAAAATGCAGGCTAAGATTTCAGGAAATGTGTTTAACCTTATAAAGATCAACACATAGGTGTAATGGTCTTATGTGAGGAGAGGCATAGTAAAGTTTGCTGTTGTTAGAGTAAAATCAATACCTACAGAAGAGAAAATTAGAAAGGAAACTGCTGATTTTTAGTCCTTTTTTCTTGTCCCCAGTCTGTGCAGGTTTGGAACTCTAGGAATCATTACATTATAACAGTCTCCACATTTCCATTCTAATGGGTTCCAGGTTTTCCTGTTATGGGGGTGAAACTAACAGACTTAGTAAATCCTTATTTATTTGTCCCAAAGGCCAGGCAGTACTCTTTCTTCTCTGGTGCTGGTTTCTATTCATTCACCACCTCTTCTCACATTCTTTTGCTGCCCATCATTAATCTTTCAAGCTACAGCTGGGTGGGTTCAGAACAAAACCATAAGAGGAACTGAAAAATGAAATATTTACCTGCACCAATGGGGAAAAAAGGCCTATCAACTTTATCCTTTCAATGCAATCACATTTTCAAAAATTTTATTCTACTCACTTTCTAGATAGAAGACAGGATGTATACATACGTAAACACATATATATTCACTCTTGGGTGTGTGTGTGTGTGTGTGTGTGTGTGTGTGTGTGTATATATATTTTACTATCTATCCTCATTTGTAATGAGGTAAAATATATAGAGCTCAGTTAGTTGCCATGGAGACACTGGTCCTCTCTTATCACAGAGCCACACTATCGTCTGGTGTCAGCCAAGGAGGGATGACAAAGGCCTCCCCAAGAGCCTAGCTCTGCAATTATGGAGAAATCAAGCACCTCTTTTAATAGAGCACATCCAGGTATACATGGCTCCTCTCCCAGCACTGTCTTTCTTTCTCCCTTCTCAAAAACTTACACATAGCAGGGTGCAGTTACCAAGTATAGATATCTTCTTCTGTTGGATGGCTTGTTTATTTCAGATTTCAGTGATATTCTTTGGTTTAAATAACAGAGCTCACTATCATCCCCTTTGTTTTTAAATCTTAATTTTTTTTTTAGCAATTATTATTTTCTTCCGATGATACACAGTGATCATCCTTTTATGAATTAATCTGTTTTTATGGTTTGTCATAATTAATGAAGGAGTGGACAAATGAAAATCACAGTTTCTAAATTTTTTTAGTCCTGAATTTTTTTTTTCCTGATTTCTCCAACCAAACTGCTAGCGCTATCAACAAATTTTTTTTTTTTAAACCTGAATGATCAGCATTTATTCTTTGTCTTCTGGTAGTGATATAAATGAGAAGCTAAAAGAACTGAATGCATTTAAGAGGAGAAAGAAAAAAGCCTAATTTTTCTTTAAGTATTTTTATTTTATTTGGGGGTTGGCTCAACTACTCCAAGATTTGATTTTGATGCTCAGACATTCTAAACTCACTCAGAAATCTGAGGTCAAACAAACATGAAAAAATGCTCAACACCACTAATCAGAGAAATGCAAATCAAAACCACAATGAGATAGCATCTCATGCCAGTCAGAATGGGTGTTACTAAAAAGTAAAAAAACAACAGATGCTGGTGAGGTTGCAGAGAAGGGAGAACACTGATACATTGTTGGTGGGAATGTAAATTAGTTCAGCCACTGTGGAAAGCAGTTTGAAGATTTTTCAAAGAACTTAAAACAGACCTACTATTTGACCTAGCAATCCCATTACTAAGTGTATACCCAAGGAAAAATAAATCATTCAACAAAAAAGATACATGTACTTGTATGTTCACCTCAGCACTACTCACAATAGCAAAGACAAAGAATCAACCTAGGTGCTCCTCAACAGTGGAATGGATAAAGAGAATGTGGTACACATATACCATGAAATACTATGCAGCCATAAAAAAGAACAAAAGCATGTCTTATGCAGTAACACGGATGCAGCTGAAGGCCATTATCCTAAGCAAATTAATGCAGGAACAAAACCCAAATACCACACATTCTCATTTATAAGTGGGAGCTAAACACTGGGTACACAGGGATATAAAGATGGCAACAACAGACACTAGAGACTCCAAAAGTTGTGGGGAGGGGAATGCTGAAAAACTACCTATTGGGTAGCATACTCTCTACCTGGGTGACAAGATCAATTGTACCCAAACCTCAGCATCATACAATATACCCATGTAATAAACCTGCACATGTACCCCCTGAATCTAAAATAAAAGCTGAAACCATCATTTTCAGCAAACTACCACAGGAACACAAAACCAAATACCACATGTTCTCACTCATAAGTAGGAGTTGAACAATGAGAACACATGGACAGAGGGAGGGGAATATCACACACCGGGGTCTGTCTGGGGGTAAGAGGCAAGGCAAGGGAGAACATTAGGAGAAATACCTAATGTAGACAACAGGTTGATGGGTGTAGCAAACCACCATGGCACGTGTATACCTACGTAACAAACATGCACGTTCTGCACATGCACCCCAGAACTTAAAGTATAATAAAAGAAGAAATTAGGATGAAATAAGGTATAGACTGAGACACTCAAATTAGCCTGAATCTATTATTTTAGATAGACTTCTTGCAGTAACAGCTAAGATTTGCCCTGTGTAGTATCTATAATGTTACAAAATATACCATTGTCTTTGGTTTTCCTCAAGTTATACAACTCTCATCTGAAAATTAGAGTGTCAGAGGAATAAACAAAAAAGGTTATAGAGCTTTGTTAACATACTCTTATCCCTAAGAAAGAAGGAATGTTCAGGTGTTTAGAAAAAGTATGATTACAGTTGGGTTAGGGAAAGATAAAAACAGTGAGATATTATAAATATGTAAGACAAAATCCCTGCTCTGAGTAAACCTGAAATCTAATTGGAGAAATAAGCCTTTAACTTATGTAAAGGTTCAGTAATATGAATTAAGCAGCAAAAAGTATACATCAGCATAAGTGTTGAGTGGCATGGGATTAATCAAGTCCAGAGTCAGTAGGATTTAGCAGAGTAAGAAAGATTTGAGATTAGTCTTAAAGAAAAGAAGAAAAAGCATACTAGACAAGGAAAACAGTAGAAGCTACAATGCAGTAGAAAAATGGTGATGGTCTTCTCAGGGGATTGTGATAAAGTTAGCATTACTGAAGCAAATCATTCTTGAGTTTCAAGAAAACTTCCAGAATCAGTTTAGGTGATGATGCTAGTTTCCTCCTCTAAGACCAATCTCCAAGGTGCATCCCTCTTTCCTTTACTAGGAAGGGTGGAAGGGGTGGGAGAAGGGAAGAGAGGGACAGATGGAGAGAGAAAAGAAAGGAAAGAAGAAAAGAAGGAGAGGGAGAGAGGGAAGGAAGGGAGAGGGAGAT